TACATTCAATGTCTTTGCTAATGGAGGAGTTAGTAAAATAAATATTTCTAGAGTGAATTCATTATCAGATGGCAAAAATGCTAAATGACATTGCACCTCCATTCATCTTGGGTTGATATCAAGATTTTAACATTTTGACCATATTCTAAAGCAATACTGAAATTTCCAGAGTGGTGTCTGTAAACACAAGGTCTGCCAATGTTTGGATACCTAACAAACACAAGCATATACAGTATGATATTCCCACGTTTGCTAATAGAAAAGATCTACATGATCTCTTAACACGTCCTGACAAAAAAAATTACTGAAATTGCCGACTAATTTTATGTATGTGGAAAATAAAATTATGTGCAACATATTTACTTAATGGGAATTTTCTACTTTACAACAAACAAGCAAAAAGCAAACATATGTAAAACCCTGGACCTCTCAGCATCTGAATATACTAGTTATATACAGCGCTAACAACGTGGTAATAAGCAGTTCTATGTTATAATTATTGAATACACATGTAGTTCATTAGTATTTCCCAGTACTTGCATAAAAATGTAAAAACTATTTCTAATAATGACTCTACACTGCCAATTATTCCTTAAAGGGGTCCTATTATGCTCTTTTACAAAGTCTTGATTTTGTTTTGGGGTGTACTAGAACATGCTCTCATGCTTGGTGGTTCGAAAAACATATTATTTTTCACATAATTTACATTATTAAAATACCTTTCTCCCCAGCCTGGCACAAACGGCTCGATTAGTTCCTGCTTTGATGAAGGTCCGCCTTCCGAAAAACAAAATGTGTTGTGATTGGTTAGCTGTCCCAGTGCGTTGTGATTGGCGAACAGCTTAGACGGTGTTTCAGTACTGCCCCGCCCCTTGCTCCGTCTTTCAACAAAAACTTTTGGGCGAATCCGGCACTGTACTCCCTCATGTTGTGGAAGCTGTCCTCAGTAAAATGTGCAGCACACAATAGCAAATTGGGGTTATAATGCTCAGGAACAGAGTTAAAAAATAAATTGCAACCACCGTTTCCTGACATCATCCACTTTCGGAAGCCCAAACAAAGAAGTTTGGGCACGGAGGTGAAAAAAAACAGCATTTCAGGCGGTTTCACACCGGACGAGAAGCGCAGCATCGCGCCACGTCTTTAAAATTCAAATACATTATTTTCTATGAGTGTAGGCACACCGGCGGCGCCGGTCGAAAAAAGTGAAAAAGCATAATAGGACCCCTTTAATTATTCCTTAATTGTGCATGCAGAAGAGCATGATCCGTAATTAAGACATTTTCTCAGTCACACATTATTAGTTTCATCCTGATGTGTTTTTGTAGCACTACCCGGGAGATCACAACATCTGTTGAAGCAAGAGATACATCTGTTTCTGGCAGATCATCCGTCTTCTTTGTAATGGCCTGTTAGAGGACATAGGACAATCTTTTTGTTCTGCTAAAAACAACATGCAAATGTGAAGCCTGATCTTGATCTCGGTCGTCTCTTTCATTCTCTCCAACACACGGACAAAACTCAAAACTTTAACCAAACATAAAGTATATGAAACAATGTACTGTAATACAGTTAATGCATCCCTGTTGGGAAAAAACTCTTACTGTCCATCACCTTTTTGAATACAGGTACAGGTACATTTAAATTTGATAAGAAGATATGTGCTGTGGTTAGGTCTTGTTTCTATCATCTTCGTCTTTTAGCAAAGGTTAAGCCCTTTTTGTCTGGTAAGAATTTCGAAACCGTCATGCATGCATTTGTAACATCTATTGTAACTCTTTGTACATTGGTGCTTCTCAGACATGTCACACGCCTACAGTTAGTTCAAAATGCCGCAGCCTGGCTCCTCAAAGCGTAAAAGTGATCATATCACACCGGTTCTGACTTCACTTCATTGGCTACCGGTCAAATACAGAATTGATTTCAGTTTTGTTATTTGTTTTTAAGTCTTTGCGGAACCAGGCAGCTTTTCTCCTGTTTTATATATGTGTATAAGTGTATGTATATATGTGTGTGTGTGTGTATATATATATATATATATATATATATATATATTTGTTTTTTTTAGGCTTGTCATTATTGTCCGTTTCTTTTAGCCTTGTAAAGCACTTTGGTTTTTAAATGTGCTATACAAATAAACTTGTATTGTATATTTTTGTACCATATGTGAGTTATTTTATGTCAGGCTTAAAATGCTATACTCAGCTTTATAAAATATGGAGGTCCCTGCTCCTTTTCTCTATCCTTTGAGTAGTCCTTAGCTTGGAAAGGGTTAAATAACAGAATCAATCAGTGAATGTGACTTCAAGTCATCTTGAACTCACACAGGATGTGAAGTCACCGTTGTCTGTGGACGTTTAGCATAAAATTACAGCCTATTGAAGTGTTACAGAAAACTTTCCAAGAGGACTGCATCACCAAATTCCCTCACCATGGGTTATATGACAAAAGTATAAATCATTCAACAAGTCCTTTATCTTGGGCCGTAAGAAGAAACAATTAATCTTCAGTTTTACATTTGGCTCAACAGGGCCGTAACTGCCAGAACTTCCGAACTTCGCCATCGGTCCTGGGGCGTGAGGGAGGGAGACGGGCACTGAGATGGGCAGTAGGAGGCAGGATTCATCATCCGGTTATAAGCTGGCACTGCTCGGTTCCTGAACCCCAACAAAAAGCCTGTCGCGCTCAAGTGAGCCCCAAAAGATTTGTTTTGCCCGACTCTCTCAAAACATGTGGGAGACCAACAGACCCGGAGGGCCACGGTGTCTCGTCTGAGAGAATGAAGAAGCGGAAAAGGGAAATGTGTTTGTGTTGTGGTCACAGCTCAGTAACGTTCTCCACACAGACATAAATGGCGGTGGCAGGGGGCATCTCTCGCTGCATGATGGGACAGTGATTGCACAAAATTGGATAAGGCAGGTTTTGTGTCACAATGAAAAGGCGGAAGATGGAGTAAGATAGAGTGGGAGGGAAGAGTGGTGTACATCAAGTGGTTTTAGGTCATCTAAGGTCTCATCAAAAATCATTGACCACTGTAATGCTCCACCGCACTGCTTTCATATTTCATATATCAAGCATCTTATGACACTATTTGACTGAGAAGGATTTCATTGAATCACAGAAAAACTGGTAAGATGCAAGTATAAATCATTTTGTCCAAAATATCTACAAAATGTATATATTCATACTGTACCTTACTACAAAAGTTCTATCACTGTTAAGTCAAACTAAGTGACCTAAGTTTTTAAACATTTTAAGGCTATCAGAGCCACTGACCTGTGGTTAGTGCACATCTGGACAAGTGTTATTATTGTTAACTAAAACTAAAAAAAAAATGTTAATTGAAATAAAGCTGACAGAAAGTAAAATTAAGTATTAAATCATGCTGTCTTGGCAACTAACTAAAATAAAATAAGTTGAAGTTGAAGTAATAAAATTACTAAAATTGAAACAAATATAAATTAAAGGTAAACAGAAATATATATATAAAAAAAGCCAAAATCACAAAAAACACTCAAAATTAAAATTAAAACCTTAAAAAAATAAAATGTTAATAAATACTATAATAGCATTCAAATAATACAAAAATCAATCAATCAGTCAAATCTCATGACCCTGTTCCCAAACTGAAAGTAAAATGCTGTTAAAATTACAATTCAGATGCAAAATAAAAATACACATTCTTGATTTATTACTTATTTGTTGGCATTTGCTGAATTTATTAGTATTGTAATATTCATTAGTGGTTTAATATAACAATCTGTACAGTGCGTCTCTCTCGAGTCATTACTGTTCTCTACAATCAGAGCTGTCTGCTAAGGCTGAATGTTCTCATGCGTGCTCGCTTTTACACGCCAACTCATGTCCATTCCCTGGTCATATGTCCAAGACCAGGTGCTGTGCGGGGAAAAACTGTTAATTATTGGCATGAAAAAAAGTCAAGGCGCAAACAGAAAGAGCTGAATCCAGAAAACAGCCTAAAAAAATAAGACATGACGCTCATTCTGTCCCTAAAAATGAAGAATTCCCTTTATAGTTTAATGGTTTTGCATCCATTGTAAGGGACAGGCTTCAAACACACTTTTGTGCCAGTAAAAATAGAAATGAAAGAAAAAGAAAACTCCCTTTAAACACAACAATCTCTGCTCCCTAAAACTCAATTTGAAAAGAAATACACAATATTGCACCCTCATTCCTATCAGAGAAAATATCAAAGTTATGGGAAGACGACACTGCTTAAATACTTTAAAGCAATTTATATTAGTTTTAATGTACAGTGGTGTACATAAACTCACATGACTGTATAAATGTGCTGACATTAGCCCGCTCTTGTAATTCTCTATCTCTATGCCATTATAATAGAAGGTTCCCCTACCTTACACATCCTCAGTCAGTTTTGGCATTGAATGCTGGCTGATATATTTGCAATTAATGAATACAAGAGACAAAAGCCTCTATTCTGCATATCTGATGTCCAATCAGCAAACGCAAAACCTTAATCTTAACCTGGTCATTTTCATGACAATAGTAAACTAATCTTCTTCAAATCTGCCACACAGCTGTTGTTCTTTTAAGGTATTAAGCTATAATCTATGTCTTGGCTGTAACAGACTAAAGCTGAAGTATGCCTAGCATACAATTACTACACATAAAAGATTTAACAAGAGCAGTAACTAGATTCCCTGTATTGAGAACTCAGTAAATCTTCACTCATTATGATCAGCACTCAAATGAACCCTTGACCCCTCTGTGAGAATATTAATTTATATTCTCACACCTATTAAAGGGATAGTTCATCCAAAATGATCATTCTGTCATCATTTATCCTGTATGAAATTTTCTTCTGTAGAACACAAAAGAAAATCTGTAAAAAAAAAAAAATGTAGGTAACCAAATAGTTTTGGTTATCATTGACTTCCATTGTATGGACAAACTAAATAGTGACATTTCTTAAAATATAGTCTTTTGTGTTCCACAGAAGAAAGAAAGTCATACAGGTTTGGAATGAAAGAAGGGTGAGTAAATGATCATTTTTAGGGGAACTATCCCTTTAAATTTGATATGTTAGAAATGATGACGGCAATATTCAAGTTTAGTTAGTGTTCCAATTTCCTTTAACTTTGCAGCAATTTAAGTAATATCCACATTACAGAGTAACTATTTGTCAAATTCAAAATGAGAGAAATAATACTTTAGAACTATTGTAAAGGCCATTCAAATTGTGTGACAGGAGAACAGTCCTTTTGACACCCAATACAAGACAATAAAAGGCAACCGAAACCTGTTTTAAAGAGCAATATGTGATTTGTTTTGTCCTTATTGTGTTCAGGTAGTCACATAGGAAGACATGGATACCATATCACAAGGGCACGGGATGGTTTAGCAGGCGCACCTTTCAGAGAGGTGCGTCTATATATGTGCATGATAGTGCAGGTGTCTGTGTGGGAAAAGAACAATACGTCCGACTATTGGAGGTGTGCAAGCGCAGTCTGGTGGCAACTTATCAAGACGTGGGGCCGTGTGCTGATGCGATGGCTTTCTCAGGCCTGGTTGGTGGCGATGAGATTTCTCAGCTGCTTGACGACAGTGTCTATGAGCTTTTGCTTGTCCCGTTCATTTTTACGGAACTGAGCAAACATGTTGTTCTTGCGGCTGGTGTCCTTCATCCTGCACACAATGAATGAAGCATATGAGATCATTAGATTACAAAACCAGAAAAAAAATGAATTGGTTTCTTCCACTTGGACACTCTAGACTTTCATGTATCCTCAGAATTAAATGCTCGTTGCAGTAACGCAGAACAAAGAGAGACCAAACAGAGAATGAAAGAGTAGCATTGTTTCACTAAAGCTTAACCAATCCAAACTCATCATTTATAAGACCTTAAATGAATATGAAACAAGGGGGCCACTTAACCTAATGTCATGACAGTCACAGAGTGCTGCACCACTAAAGAGCTTGAGGAAGGGCACAGACTTTAACTGAGACTACCACTGTGTGGTTAAGAAAGGCGCTCCATATGGTGTGCCATGCAGGAGCCTTGGAGCAGTCCTGCATGGAGGTTCTAATGAACTTGCTCACTTTCCTGCCACTTGTGCCAAATGCTTCTTCTCAGTAGCCAGGAGATCACTGAGCCAATGCCTGCACATTCCTCTCATTCGCAACCAGACAAATCGTGGTCAAGCTCTCGGAGTTTGACAAAATACTGAAGTGACCCATCATCAAGGCATTGAAAAAAATAAATAAATAAATGTAAAAGAAAAACACATTAGTCTATACTCCTCAGCCTGAAAATTGAAAGGGGGAATATTATGGAAAATAGTATTTTCCTTGCTCATTTTAAACTGAAAATTAGCAAGATTTTTAAGATAATTGTCAACAAAAACACTACCGTTCGAAAGTATGGGGTTGTTAATTTTTTTTTTTTTAACGATTCTGAAAGAAGTCTCTTATACTTACCAAGGCTTCATTTATTTGATCACTGCAAAATAGTAATATTGCGAAACATTATTCTTTAATATTGCAAAATAAATCTTTTGTAACATCTTTCGTAATAGAAATCTTTATTTAAATGGTTAGTTCACCCAAAAATGAAAATTAACCTGTGTTTTACTCACCCTCGAAGCATCCTAGGTGTATGTGACTTTCTTCTTTCAGACGAATCCAATCGGAGGTATATTAAAAATGGTCCTGGCCCCTCCAAGCCTTACAATGGGGATAAGCGGGTGTTTGTTGTCAACAGTTCAGAAGACGTGAAAAAGTGCACGCATCCATAATCAAACGTCCCTCACATGGCTCCGTGGCGTGAATAAAGGCCTCCTGTAGCGAATCCATGCATTTTTGTAAGATAAATATCCATATTTCAAATGTAATAAACACTTTTTTCTCACTTCCACTGACTGTGGCACGCGGAAGACATGCAGACGGATGACGTAGGACGTAGGTGTTGTGCGAGCGCCTCTGAGAAATGCAGGAGCAAAGGAAACAATGTTTCCTTACTTTAGCAAAGGAAAACCAGTCTCCTCTTGGCTTATATCGAAATCCTCCGACATTCTTCTTTACAAATCTTCGTTTTGTGCTTCTAATTCGTGACCGGCATTTTGTTTTGTTCTCTCTCCACGCTCGTCACTAATCATGCAACGCCGACGTCCTACGTCATCTGTCGGAACACCTTCCGCATATGACAGAATACCGGAAGTGAGAGAAAAGTGTTTATTACGTTTAAAATATGGATATTTATCTTACAAAAACGCATGGATTCGCTACAAGAGGCCTTTTTTTCATCCCCCGGAGCCGTGTGAGGCACGTTTTATTACGGATGCGCGCACTGTATTTCACGTCTTCTGAACTGTTGACAACCGAACACCCACTTACCCCCATTGTAAGGCTTGGAGGAGCCAGGACAATTTTTAATATAACTTCGTTTGGATTCGTCTGAAAGAAGAAAGTCACATACACCTAGGATGCTTCGAGGATGAGTAAAACGCAGGCTAATTTTCATTTTTGGGTGAACTAAACCTTTAACATTGTCTTAGTCACTTTTGATCAAATTAATGTGTTCTTTCAGAATAAAAGTATTAATTTCCTTTAAAAAAAACTTCCTGATCCTAAACTGTACATATATAATTTTTTAAAGGTACAGTAGCAAAAAAAAAAAAAAAAGGGTCAGACATTAGGTAGAACGGGGCAAAACTAAACTTTGTTGCAAGAAACCATTTAATTAACATTTACAAACTTCAGGGAAACCATAAAATACTACAAAGTCTAGAATATGGTCCTTATGAACACAATTCAAGTTACAAATATTGTTAAAGAGTCGATCTGTTACGGAAGCAATTTCATTATCACCACCAGGAACAAATCCACTCGCTCTACATCTATCAACTCTTCCTGCGTGTCTATTTCGCTAGAAGTATTAGACAAGATATCCATCGCCACGGACACATGACTGTACTGCCATAGTGATATGCATCACTGCTTTATTACAGAGAGCCACCTGTGATTACCATGGTGATAAGAACCACCACCACCTAGTGCGGAATTCTTGCTTTGCTGAGCATAAGAGTTTGTATCTTGCTTCTGGAGTTCAACAAGGTGGACAGAGTATTAGAAAAGTGACGCTCAACTGGTTCTGCTTCAGGCAAGGATTTTACATCGGAGATGTAAAATCCTACCGACCCAACACAGAAGCAAAACTGTTTACTGTAAACTAAAATTATTAACACAAGACAGACCTATCTTTATAGTTTGAGTGTCTGGGTTTAAAATGTTTCTTGAATTTTGATGGTTTAATGCTCTTGGTTGGCGATAATTCATTGCACAAAACATACTGTGGTCGGCACAAACCACGTTTATTCTCGCTGCAAGTGAATTTTCGTATTTTCTTCTACCTTGTGTAGATGAGGACACAGGCCTAATGTGGACAGATGCTACGGCGAACTAGGAGTGCCACTTAAAAATTGTCAATTGTCAATGTATTAATGTAATGTAATCACTTTTGGATCTGACAAATAAATTGACACTCACAACAGTCATTAATTTTTGTTTAAAAATAATAAAAGTAGTAAAAACTAAATTGATCAATCATCTTAAATGCAACAATTAAATTGCATTTTTTAAGCATTTATAAAACCATATCCAAACCATATTTTGTGTCCCTCACACTGACGTTAACATGCATTTTGTTGTTTACATTTAGCATTTTCTCCCCGGCAACATGTATGTACATCTGAAAATGATTCAACGTTTTGTTATGACTGTTAGGAGTTTGGTGCATTTCTATACAATATTTTTCTTATTCTACATTTTTTCTTGTTCTGAATGTTAGAAAATTGGATATGCAACAGTACCCTTGAAATATTGGCTATCCCTGCAATGAGGTGATACACAATCACATCACTGCTGGTCCGACTTCACTTCCTCAGTTTGGATGCTTACTCCACTAAGAAACAATCAAGATTTTACTGGATGAGTTTTTTAAAACAAACTAAAACTCATGTTCTTACATTTAATCTTCCTTTCCCCCCTCTAAACAACTAAAATCCTTGTCTTTTCAAGTACACTCCAATAAAGGAAAGCTTTTCTCCTCAACGAGCCAGTCGTGCTCTGATTCCAGACACACACAGTATTCGTGTTTAGTGGTGTGCTAACCCTGGCCGGGCTAAATAATACAGATCACTTTCACAGAGACAGAGAGGCAAGAGGGTAAGGCTGAGGTAAGTGCAGCTCTAATGAGATCAGGCAGGTGTGTGTGTGTGTGTGTGTGTGTGTGTGGTTGTGTAATGCCAATCCACTGCTGCTTTATATCACAGATACAAGAGGACAGCCAGAGAAGGGAAGGAGGGAGGCAAAGAAAAAGAGTGACAGAGGAAAGCAGAAGTGATCGAAGTCTAGCAAATGCACACATACACAACACTGAGGAATGCATACATTCTTCAAACACGTAAGGAGTTTTAATGACAGCATGCAAAACACTGACATTAACACTCACTCTTGTATGTAATGTACAGCAAAAGTCATAATGTGAACCAAACCTTACAAACTTAACACACTGAACATGTGAGTGAATATTAAAAAAAAATGTTAAGAAAGGTCCAGGTCGTATTTCACTCCAAAAAACTGAAAATATAAATAATATATTTTTTTTTTTTGTGTGTGTGTGTGTGTGTTTGTATGTATTGTGTATTTATATGATGATTGATAAATATGTTATCATTAATATACACTGGGCAAAGATATAATTTTTTTTAAATGCAAAGTACATTATTAAAGAACATTGTAATTGTAAGTATCAGTATTGTTATATTATCATCATGGTAGTATTATTGTACTTAATTTTGTAGTATAAAAATGATAAAAAAAAGATTTTATATTTTATTTACAAAATTAGATTTGAATTCTATAAATATTAATCATTGTATCTGGACAGATTGTTTTTCATTACTGTATTACAAGAGTGAGATTTTTAGTATTTTTAGTATTTTAGAGATTTTTAGTTTATTTATAATAATGACAATTTAGGTATATGCTTAACTGCCATAAAAATAATGTCACAATACTAAAACCATAAAAAGGGTTAATTTCCTCTATTTAAAATATTGTTTCTTTTCCTTCTTTTTCAGGGTGAAATACAACTTGGACATTTAATGAAAATTACCCATGTAAAAGAGCACTCTCATCACATAAATACCAAATGCAGAGTACTTACGACCGAGAAATCCTGCTCATGAGTAACAGATGAGAGATGAGAGAAAAAAAAAATGGTTTGCATCTGATCTGATGTCTTGACGTAAGTGCATGTGGTTTGATGAGCGAGGAGAAGAGCGTGACACAAGTGTGAGACTCACTTCTCTATGAGGGCCAGAGCCGTGTGAGGATTGACTCTCAGGTACTTGCAGGTGGGTCGGCCGTAGTCAGCCAGATACGTGGACCAGTCCCACTGAGTGAAGAGATCCAGTAACTAAACAGAGGACAGTGGTGGTGCAGGGAAGAAAAGACAAAGAGAGATCATTAAAGTTCATTAAACACCATAGCTGGCCCTTGTTAGATCAGGCTAGTTCACTTCTCCCAATGTTACATAAGTGAGCAGGGCCCCTTAAATGAGATTATAGAGGAGACACAGAGGAAAGCAACATGACAAAGCAGGGGATTAGAGGAGAATGGAGGGAGGTTAAAGAGAGAACAGCCATTTACACTCTTTCACCCGGACCTGACCCGATAAATGGGCCGGTAATGACCCGGCCAGCTACTGACCTTGCTGGAGCCTGGCCAAAAATGCACCCCTCAGCACTGGCTCAATAAACAACAGAGCACATTCCTCCCTCCCAAACAAACCCACTCGCACAAACACACACATTTAGACGCAGATTCAGTGCTGGGAACGCAAACAAACACAATCAAACATGTCATCAAACTAGCAAACAGAAAAAAGGAAAATGACTACACAAAAGTCTCTGTATTCAATCGTAAAGACACATCAATGGACGCAAAAAAATGTGTGCCTATGTGTGCATGAGGAAAATACATCCATGACAGCAAGACATGGCTATAAGTATGTGAAATTCACTGCAGGTTTTTGTATAGTCAAACAGTCTTTAGCTGTCTTTCCAAGAATACATTGAAAATTCTAGGATTAAATACATATCACATATCGCCTCTGTCTTTCAGCACAACCACACAAAGCTGAGGACAACTGAAGTATGATTGATTTTTATACATCTAAGACGAAGCCAAGCTAAAATTTTATTATCTAGGTCTGTTAAGTGAAATAGCAAAATTTCATGACCTGCTAAACTGTGATCACATTAGTGAAATTTTGCGGGCAAAAAGGTCCATTATCAATACTGTACAGTATCAATGTATGAAGCACAGCTCACACAAAAGTCACTTCCAAACTAAGGAGCTTTCTGTTGGTCATTATGGAAAATTCTTTCGCTTTTTAATGGGAAATTCACGATTGCGTGGATTCCTATTGAAATGCCCGGATTTCGCCCATGAAAACAATTGTAAATTTGACCAAATAACAGTAAAAGTTTAGTTCACTTTAGTTCATAATAAAATAATGGACTGGTACCATTTCAGACTAAAGCATTTAAATAAGCACTTATTATTTAGGTCCATCTGAAACAAGTTTAACCACCCGCTCTTCAAACCACGAGCACACACCCTGTGCGATGGCAGATAAGCACCTGCGTAAGATAAGTGATTTTTGGATTTGCATTCATAACTTGTTTGTTCCTTTCTTTGCTCTTCTTCCCGCTGGCATGGTCTGTACAGACCCACCAAGGCTGAGGAGGAGAGAGAGAGAAAGAAGTCAGGTTTTGCCGCTGTCATTTGTAATATGAATGCACTTGCATTCCACATAGCGCCAGCTAGTGTGTCAAACTCGTCCATGACCCGGGTTTCACCTTTCCCCTCTGCCTCTCCACCCCGCCTTCACCTCTCAATGAACTTCCACTCAGTCTCTCTTTGACCTCAGCGTGACCCCCGATAGTGTTATCAGCCCCTCTCTGAACAAACAGAAGGTCATGCTAGAGAGGAGCTGGGGCATGGGGGCGGGCGGGCGCTGGATTATCACTTCCTCTCATTCTTCTAAAAGAAAGAATGATGGAGAGAAAGGGAGAGAAAAAGAAAACATGACGTTGCACATTGATGTGTTGCTCTCAGTTCCCTCACAGCCTCAGCATCAACCCTGGTTCTCTCTCCGCTCTCGGCCATTTGGATAAGGGCTTATAACAGTTATTCCGACCGTCGTACTTGTTTGTTTGGAACGTGGCAGGAATAGCTATTCTCGTTAATAGCCTGGGGGTGTTGGGAATTAACTGCAGTGTTATTCTTTTCTCCCCTTAGACTTGTTGCTCTTTCTGGCAGCGTTCTGGAAAAACACTGTTTGATTTGCCACTTTACTGTTGCAATAAATCTAAAAATGCTCTGGTGGGGAGCTTGTTATGTAATGATCACATATGCCCTAGTAACCTAGTAGCCACCTACAACGGCTTGTGAATAACCAGCCGATGAAGTACAATTATTCATTACGACTTAATGAGGTCAATGCGAATGAGCTGCTATGTAGAAGAAGGAAAAATAAGATGAGAGGATAACATTCTTTACCTTAAAGTCAATTAGTTTTGTGTTCTGTAGTCACTAATGCTAAAGTGTTTTGTTCTCTTTGTGCCATCACTGCCACTATCACTTCATCCATGCCTTCTCCTCTCACTCCTTTTCTCGTTAGTTCTCCTCTCACCTCTGGCTGCCCTCTGGCTCTCAGCATTGTTTAGTGCATTCTAGAACTGGGCCGACAGCCCCAAAGGCTCACGCAGGCCAAAGTCAGTTGAGCTTGAGCCTGAATAATGATAACATTGATAATATCCAGCACAGAAAAGAGAGATCAGCTTAGTAAAGAAAGCAATAACAATAACCCTCACCTAAAACAACCAGAAAAAGAGGCCAAAGTAAAACTTGTCCTATATTCAGAAGGACCTACTCAGTTATCTGGCAGAGTAGCTTCAGGTTATGTCTTAATAAAAATGTGTTTTAAAAGTCTACTAAACATGGGATGAGTCACAATGGGCTGGTATGCGAGTTTTGATTTGAACCGCAGCAAATGGAGCTCAAGTGCATGGTCGTAAATGTGAATGACGAGCAAATCCGATACAGATATAGCAGCAGTAAACGTCTGCTGGGAGCAAATATGAGCATATGAGATCTGAGAGAAAGATGCCAGCCAAAGAAAAAAAAAGTGAAATCAAGAGGATAATTAAAGAGGATAGGAAGTAGCTTTGTTGGCCTCTTCAAATGACATGTAAACAGTTTTCTCTGATGTACTCAGTAAAAAGAATAAGAATTATCCTAGTTTAAAGGCCTAGCTCACCCAAAAATGAAAATTCTGTCATCAAATACTTTGTCACATTCTTCCTAACCCATAAAACTTCATCTTTGAAGCACAAATGAAGATATTTTTAATGAAACCTGCTGGGAGATTTGTCCCACTATTGGAGTCGATTCCTCCAAAACTTTGATGCTTAAAAAACAAATATTGGATCAATCAACTTCATTGGTTCTTGCGAAAGCTCAAACGTGCTTACGTAGCAGACAAGAACAAACCTAATTGGTTCTCACATGTCAAGCCTGTTTGAGATTCTTTTTTATCACATTTGATGTTCTCCATATATGTGCATTAATCAATTTGATATGTGACAAAGCATAAATTTAATCTGTTCATCATATAAAGCAATCATTTCCTTTTTGGGGGGAACTATCCATTTTAAGTGTTCAATTATATATGTCTCTGACATTTATCACTGATTCCCTGTCAAAGTGTTTCAATACCTAATTTTCTTCAAATCAACATTGTATTGCAGCATTTTCAAAAGGAGTAAAAAGAGATGCAAGAAAGAGGTGCAAAAAGTTTTGACGAGCAAATTTGTTGGGTCTATGGCTAATAAAAAGGGTGGGAAAAGTGGGCTGAGTAGCTTTATAGAATAAATAACAATGATGAACCTCAATCATCCTGTCCACCCCAAGTCAATTAACAAGGGGGTTTCAAACTCACAACTTTTAAGGTGGCTAGTTAACATCCATGCATTCTGATATGATCACCGCTTATGGTAATTTCTAGAGGTTTCTGTGAGAAATCTGCTAACGTCACTGAGAAAGGTCAGGAAAAGCGTCTTATCTTAAAATTGACCTGCACAGATAATGAACAGAGAAGTCTGAATCAAAAACACTTCGCTCAGCTATCTATGGTTCTGGATCATGTGAATGCAGAGAGAGCAGCGGAAAGAAAAAAAGGGGAAGGAGCAGCAACTAAAGCATCATTCAACATCAGTCAAAGTCCACCAGGAGGAAAATGATAAGCGTTATCTGGGTACTAAAGAAAAAAAAAAGGAAAAGTGGATCCCCGTTTCTAAAGCCATATTTCAGTCCGCACAGTAGTAGCACACAGAGGTCAGAGGCTATCCATAGAGGTTATCTTGGCTTAGGCTCCATCTACGCTAAAGCATCCAGCAAAACAGCAAGCATGAGACACTCAAACACAAATCTCAGTCTATGCAAACATACATGGCTCTTAATCGCTGGGAAAGTATACTCATGTCAGTCATCAAGGATTAAAAATGCTGAACATGTGCTTTCTTTTCTGTCAAAAAACACTTTCAAATGACAAAGTCCTAGAAGCACCAGTGCTGGAGATAACAGCAACTGTCAATCAAAACAAGAGAAAGAGTATAGAGAGAGGAATAAGAGACAAAACCAAAAAATTAAAATCTTGCCAACAATATTAAAGGCATAGCTCACTCAAAAATGAAAATTCTGTTATCATTTACTTATCCTCATGTCACTCCAAAGTTATGACTGACTTTCTTCTGTGGAATGCAAATAAGATATTTTGAAAAATATCTTCCTGGTTTTTTTTTCTTGTTTTGCGTCCGTATCATGAAAGTCTAATCTTGTTCTGACACCAATATTCTTCAGAAAATCTTCTCGTGTTCTGCAGAAGCAAGCAAGTCATATAAGAATAACACGAGGTTGAGTAAACCATGACAGAATTTTCATTTTTGGATTAACTACCTTTTAAGTGCTATAAACATGAATTTTGCTGCATATTATCATGTCAAAATAATGGCAGTGAAGTATGTCTACATATAGGGTGTACCAAAAAGAGACTGTACGATTCAGAGTGAGTATGGCATAGTGATGCGCTCATTCAAATAGAATTCACCCGGCACTGAACTCTGAACAGAGTTTAAAAATGAACAATAACCACTTACCATTGGTCCACTCTGCTAGGATGATGGTGGGGCTGTGCCACAACTGAGTGGCTCATATAATTACATTAGGAGAAGCAGAGACCTACATGATTAAGACCGGACAGAAATCTCGAGAGGGCTTCAGAAGATTTCAGCAGAGCAGAAGCTCCAGCCTGAAGTATTCTGACAGCCGTAACTCGATTAAAAAGGCTAC